TGGAGGGAAAGGGGGGCGAGGGGAGTGTGGGGGAGGAGGAGGAGGAGGAGGAGGATGTTGCTGTTGCTGTTGTTGTTGTTGTTGTTGTTGGTGAGGGTGGTGGTGGTGGTGGTGGTGGGGATGATGGTGATGTTGCCAAGCCATATCGACTTGGAAATGACTCTGATTAAGTTCACTCTTTACGCCAGGCGATTCTATGGGAGTATCCGGAGCAACCTGGCCATAATACTGAAGATTCACACCCCCAGGTGGTGGTAAAAGAGCGGTGTCGTTGAAGGGGTCATCACACCGCCCATGGATGAAATGGGGAGTAGCTTGTTCCTGCTGTCGAAGTGGAGGAGATACGGGTAGATTGCCCTGCGTAACAGCTCGACCTCTTCCTCGCCTTTGCTTGGGTACCTTCAGAGGTTGTAGATGTTCTTGTGTCGGTGATACTTGCCGTGGCACAGCTGTTGCTTTGCGATTCCTTCGCAGATTCGTTGCCCTTCTTATTGTGGAAGACAAGGCTTCCACAAACTTCTTAGGCTTCCGACCATCGGTGTTGGGAGGTTTTGGAGACGGTGGATCCGACGACGTTGTATTATGCTGTCTCTGCGGCGAATGCAGAGAAATACTCTCAAGTCTGCTGAGGTCAGCCTCTGACATGGATGCTCTCCCAAGATACTCAAACTGCTGCTGAGATGGATGACCAAGCTCATCGGCACTTAACGCGAGGTCCTTCGGGTCTATTTCGTGGCTGGCGGCCGAGGCAGTTGGGCCAATGCGAGAGCTGCTAGAGAGGAAGTCAAACTCATCAGCGGAAGAAACGCAAGATGAGACGGCACTTTCTAGGGTTGGGACAGTACGGTCCCCCATTAAGAGCATAGACTCTGCCACGCCGGGCATAGAAGCTGGTATCGTGTTGAAATCATTGTCGGCGGTCGCTGTAACGGTACCGTCGGCATCAAAGTCAACAAACTGGCCAAAAAAATCGTTGTGGACGTCATCGGTACTGGCGCTGTTGACATCCTCCCAATACATGCTAGGGTCCCGATTTGTATCGACGGCCTCGGCCCTGTATGGAACAGTCCAAAAGGCCATCTTGACCAAAGGGTTGGGGTTGTGGCTTTTCGTGTTGCTGTTGCCAATGAGGGTATCGTTGTGGCGCGTAGTGTTGTGTGGTGTTGAAGTGTAATGTGTTGAGTTGTTGTTGTTGTGATGCTGTGGCTCTCGGTTGATATAGCCAAAGGTTCCGTATATACACATACATACATATATATATATACATATATATGGTATACGACAAGCTTTGCGACTCAAAGCACAGGGAGCAATGCCATGAGGCACAAAGCGTTGTCTTGGTTTGATCTGATCAAGCCTGCAAAATGGAAAGGGCTCAATAAATCAGAAAATTAGAGGAGGAGGAGGGAGTTGGGAAGAAGTGGAATATGGGAGTTCCCGTCGTGGGCCGAAGCTATCAATCAAGATGAGATGGCCCGAGGGCAAGTAAAGCTTGTTGGCCATATGCCATCCCGTAGCAACAATTGGCTCAGCACAACACCCGGCAACGGGCAGCGATCAGCTAGCAACCGATCTCAGGTCCGAAGTTGTTATTTGGGGCATTCGCAACAAGAGGCAGGCCTTGGAATGTGGGAACATAGCGCTGCGCATTCCAGTCGTTGTTCGACTCTCGCACGCAGAGGCCAAGCCCAAACCACCAACTCTTCTTGACTGCAAGTAAAACGAGCCAGTCCGGCCCCACAACGGCAGCCATTACCGCTCATACATGGAGGTGCCGAGCACAACCTCAACCTCGTCCTCGCAAGAGCATGTTATGCTGGGAGGGTATTATTAGAGAGCAACTCTGCCGCCATCTCCACTGCAACGGGGGCCTGGTGGGAAATTACTGGAGAGCCCACAATGCATTGATTGACGGCCATGGCCGACAGTTGGTCCTGTTCCATAGCCACCATGTCGTGCGATGCAAAGACCAAGACGCAGCTCGTGCGCGCGAGAAACCCAGGCTCGTTATCCGGTCGACGTTTCCCCGGCTTCCTGCGAGGAAGAGAAACGAAAATGAAACCGAGCACTCGATGCCCTGGCCATCACGGGCTCTGCAAGGCCAGCTGCATGACTCAGATGGGCCCTTCATCTTGGGATAGCTTCTGCGGCTTACAGCCGTGCTGCCCAGATGTGTGGAAGGAAGGACGCCTCAAGCCAGAATCTCGACGCCCAAGCCCTGAAGCCCAAAGCCCGCACCTGAAGAGCCTGAGGCCTGGAGCCCAAAGTCCCTGTGAAGCAGCATGCTGAGTGACAGTTGACGTAGCTTGAAAATTTTCCTCCAGATTGTGCTCCTATGGCTTGGTCTCGTTTTGTGCATTGTGCATTGCATATGTACGCCATGCCTTGCTTGTGGTGACCATGGAGGATGGAGGTTGCCACCACGAACTCTGCTTAAGCTCCATCTGTCAACTGTTTGGCCGGATGCCAGAAGCCCAGGCTAAATGTTAGCCTTGAGACATAATCTCAGAAGCATACGGGAGTAAATACATTTGGCAGCCTGGACGCCAGCACCATCAAAAAGGGAAACCAACATCTTACCCCACGTGTTTCAGCGACGAATGTCGATTGCCAAGTCAACGGTTGGGGGTCAGGTCAGGTAGAGTGATGCATACAGGACGTCCCTGGCTGAGGACAAAGGACCTCGGGGACCCTGGAGACCCTGAGCAGCATGGGGAGCATGGGAAGCATGGGAAGCATGGGGAGCATGGATGGGGATGGACGGACATGAGCAGACCGTTACGACCGATGCGATGGTGTGTGGTTTGACGAGCGGTGACGGGGTGCCGAGGCGCTTCCAACTAACAACTCAAAACGAGGGACGGGGAAGCGCCAAAATAAGGCTAGCAACTCAGTCGCCCACTGTGTATAATATAATCCCGTAACGTGATGGCCAGCCCATGTTGATATCCATGCAGGCGGGAATGAAGTCTGGCCAATATCACGGCAAAGGTGACTCGACTCGTCGTACACGTCTCCATACCGGTAAGAAAGATGCCTGCTCCCATGTGTCGAGGGCTCCTGGGCCTTGAGCGGAAGGGATGTGCCTGCCAGGTTCGGCCGAAACGAAGAATTTTTTCTGTCACCAAATGCCAACCACAAGCCCCAACCCCATCAATCAGTGTGAGCGAGCGGTGTAACTTCGACGTCGACCCATGGACATAGATGCCTGGCTGACTACTCCGTATTAGAGACTGGTAGCGGAGATTAGCGATAACGCTCGATTACTCCTGACTCAGTACACGTGAGGAAAACTCCATGCGGGCTGCTTACAGAGCGCTGACGAGGTGTTTAGAGAATTTCCAAGTCTGCTTCTTTTTTTGTCTTTGCTTGCATAAAGCTACACAGCCGCATATTCAAGTCTTGGACGTTGTTGGTTCGCCTCGTGGCTGCAAATTGCTGCAAAACAGCCGTGCGGTACGGCGCAGTACACCACCAGGCAGAGCACCGCCTTGTTGAGCACAAATGCATTTTTCGTCTTGGGCGGCGGCACAGTGTGTGTCGTTGGTTCGTGGTTGTTTCCCTGAGGTGAATGACACACAGTTAGCCATCACGGTTGGGCCTGGGTGCCTGGCAAGGCTCAACCTCGTGGACCGATCGGTGTTGGCCCTTAGGTACACATGTGCTCGGTACATCCCGGGGCAGCAGGACTGTGCAGTAACTTGCTGGGTAGGTACCTCCCTGGGTACCTCATTGACGTCAGTTTCCTGGCTCGAGAGCTTCTCGATCGGTCTGTTGGCTTTCAAGAGTTGAAGTTATCGTGGCCAGGGCAAGGGTCCAGGTCCGGCCAAGGAGACTCGGCTACGACAAGCGGTCGATAAATCGGGATCATCTTGTTCTCCGTGTTGGTACCTACTTGGGATTTCCAGCAAGGACTAGTGCCAACTTGAACTTCGCGCCCATGTGCAGAGGTCGACTACTAGTAGTGAGGTAGATTCAACATCGCCATTGTGGTCCGTTTTATTAGATTTGGGCAAGTGCGAGGGGTAGGCAGCAAAGTCTGGCACCTGCACCTGCGCACTCCTTTAATGATGCAGCACGTAATCACTCAGAACCACCACTTGACCGCCTGAGCATCTCATGACATGCGGGTGTAAGGTAAGGAGTACAGAGTACATTAAGGTTTCGATGAAATCTAGACTGCGTCGTTCCGCCAGTTGACGGCAACAGGATCTCCCGTCTCAACCGCCCGAGCCGCTCCAGGGACGGTGTGCCTCTTGTGCCTCGCGCATGGCCCTTTCCGACGTCTGTTCTGACATTTGGGCCCTGTTTTCTGCTTCCCAGTCCATTTCCTGATCTCGTTTCTCGTTTCTCGTTTCCCGATGCCCTTTCCGGTTTCGCCTTAAGCATCTTCTTCTGTCTGGTCCATCGGGCCCGTCTTGGCCCCTCTGGCTCCATTACCGGCCTCCCGATATCTCGAGTCTTGTGGCTCAAGCGCCAATTCCCAATTCCACTTCCAGACCTGCTGCCCTGATCTGTTGAGACTGCCAACTATCTTGCAGCGTACAAAGTACGGAGTGCAGCTCTCTTCCGAGTTTGTGCTAGTCTCGTCTCTATGCATGCGCAGGTGGTCAACGCCGCCCGGCTTGGTCCACTATTCGTTGGCTACCTCGGCCTTACTCGCATTGTTGCAAGAGGCTTCTTCTTCTTGTAATGCAGGTACAGCCGTGGGCTAGGCTCTATTCCGCCAAATCGATAGTCATTGTGAGCACTAGCCTCGGGCTGGGGTCAACTGACTCAGCACAGCGAGGTTTGAATCCAACAAATCGCGTACAGCCGGGACATGACAAAGCTTGCTTTGGCAGCTATGATCGGAGACTTGTCACCGCTTTCAAAACGCGCTAATATGCCAAGAAGGCCCTATATAATCCTGCCAGGCTTTACTTGCCTGGGACTAAAGAAAGAACCCCCAAGTATACAACGCAAAATGGAATGCGCCACAGACCCGATCTCCCGCAAAACCGCGTAATCGCGGGACAGGGTAGGAATTGGAAATGACCCTAAATGGGCCGAATCAAGCAAATAGGGAAAACCAGGCAAAAACTAAATATAACAGTGGCCATCAAAGAGAGGCGGGCAAAGAGGGAGGGAGACGGTGAAGACGACTGTCATGTCGCTTACGACAGACGATGTGGAGTGCAATAGTAATATAAGTGCTAATGTGTGATAGTAATACTAACGAGAATAGTGAAAGCCCAAAAGAACTAGGGTATATGAGGGCATGGCGCTTTCAGATGTCCATGTTGGTTCTTGTCATCCACCGGATGGCTAGGAGTGGTAATATCTTGACTATCAATTCCGCATGTCTTGATGCTCGACGACGCTTGAAGCCTAGTTTGGTTCTTCTTATGCCTTCGCCTTCGCATCCTCGGGACCTTGTGTACAACTTGGGAACAGTCCATTGCAGCCTCCGAGGACGTCCGGTATACTAGAGCTCCACTTTTGCGTGCACGGCTGGCAAGGCTCTGAATGAGGCTATGGCCATCATTTGTCCATACAAACTCGTTGGTCCCATGCCCATATCCTTCATCAAGATCCAATCCTTGACACCCCAGCTCCTGTTTTGGGTCGACCTCAGGAAGCGGAACGTGGTGTTGTGTAGTGGTAGACTCAGGAACCATTACCATTGAGGCAAATTCAGCTGGTGTCGACGACAATGGCTTTTCTGGTTCTAGTTTAGGCACATTTGGATCATATTCTGTGAAAGGACTAAGTGTGTTGGCTGGTATTTGATCGCATGGCTTTTCTATTTGAGCGGCTGCAGTGGCTGATACTGTTGATTCCTGCACAATATCCCGAGGGCTGTCACAGTCCATCAAGACATGGTCGGGTCGTCCCTGCACGTGAGGTATCCCTACATGGCGCCGAAAAGGTGCGGTTTTGGCAGAGCCGGGTAGTATATCAGCGTAATGAGACTTCAGTGAATGTCTTCCTAGTTTGTGCACAAGAGATTCAACGGGTTGGGCCCGGCTCTGGCGGCGGTAAATACGGTGCCGTTGAAAGCCTGGTACGGCCCCGGGCTCGATGCTTCGTCTTTCAGA